TTTTTTTTTTTTTTTTTTTTTTTTTTTTTTTTTTTTTTTTTTTTTTTTTTTTTTTTGGCTAAAACACAAATTGAATTAAAATGGAATAAATTTTAAAATTTGTCAACTAATACGAAATTTTTTATTTATTTATTTAAGGAGTTAAAGGCTAAAATGAGAATGAAAAAATACATCAAATTTTATGAAAAACAATTAAAAAAAATTCAATATTAAATCAAATTTTATGAAAAAACAATAAAAAAATTTACTCAAGTGGATCAAATTTCGCCTATAATTTAATAAATTTTAAAGTAAAAATAAATAAATAAATAAATAAAGATAAAATAAGGTTAAAAAGGTAAATATAATTATTATTATTTTCCTTTTCTTTTTTCCTCTCTGGAGTTCATATACCCAATTCCCATCCCGTGCGAAGAGAAGGCAATCGAAAAGACGCCGTGCAGTGTCTGCCGCGCTCGTCCTGCTCTCCGTTGTTGCGATTTAATTGCAAACCTGTTCCTTCGCCACTGCAATAAAGATACCGGAGGAGGGGAATCGGATTCTTTAATCTCGATCGAGATCAACATTTTGGATTTCTCTTTGTTGTTTTTGGACTGTAAGCTATCCATTGCGCCGATTTTCTTTTTTTCGTTTTGCTTCTTCTTCTATTGTTTCCGGATAAAATGGTGATATTTTTCTGAAATTGTTCGGTAGCTCTGTGATATTACTTAGATTGTTAAGATTGCTACGAAATGAGACATCGCTGCGACGTTCTAGTTCTCTTATTTTAAACACTGTCAAGAGAAATCATTCTGCGAAGTTTGCGTTAAGAAATCTCCATGATTCGTAAACGCTTTCAAGAAGCTAAAACAGGTAAGTTACGAATAGTTTGTGCCTCATTTATTCCATATTTGGCTTTGATTTTGAGCTTGCCTACTTTCTGTTTGATAAATTGCTTGAAAGCAATATATATGTATATTGTTTATATATATTTTTCTTGGACTGGAATATCAGGCCTGCAACTGGTGAAATCGATGAGAGCCGAAAGGTTCTTGAAGAAAGTTGGATTGGGCAGAGAGGATCGTTACTTCTGGAAGCAAATTGGAAAGGCTCTGTTATTTTCGTATACTCTGATCGGTGTTGCATGGCTTTACAACGAAACATCACCATTTGGCTGGTGGACGCTGAAGCCACGGTCCAAGGCAGAGAAAGATTTGGCTCACCTCTATGAGCGTAGGGAGTTTCCATATCCAGGTTGTTAAAATCTCCGCATTATACCCAAAGATTTAAAGTTGATTGAAAATGAAATTGAGCTGCTGTATAAATTTCACTGATAGATGGAAAAAAAATTAGGGAAATTATAGAAGCCACTTAGAACAATAAGGGTGTTGCAATTGTATTTCAAAACTTCTATGCAATTAAACTACATCATTGTAACTTTGTGATGATTGAGTATAGTGTAACAATTCTTATAGTTTATGTGTTCTAATGTTTGACGGCAACAAACTTGTTGTTCTAAGTGGTTGGGCCTTTTTCAACTTGCAACGAACAGAATTGTTGCAAAACTGTTCAATTGCAACGAGTTCATCAGTTTGAGGATAATTGCTTGAATTTAAAGTTTGAGGGTGGGATTGTAATAACTAGTTAAGGTCGTGGATTAAGCTAAATCTAATCATTATGATATATTGTAAACCCAGGTGATGAAGAAGCTATGGAGGATTTCATTGCGAAGGGGGGAATGATCGGAACTGCCATCGGTCCAAAGGGGGTGATTGATTTTGATAAGGATTCTTTCAATTATCAGAAAGAATTAGAGAACAATAAGCTCGAGCAAGAGGCCCAGAAGCTATGGTTCAGGATGAGGAACGAGGTTATTTCAGAGCTTCAGGGGAAGGGCTACGATGTTGAGTGAGGTAATTCTTGAATGGAAGCATGAAAATTTCTGATTGCCTAATTTGTTCATGTGTTCTTGTTGTGAAAGTTCTGAATACCCATCTGCTTGAATGCTTCCTGTTTGATGCGTTTGCAGTCGTCTCTGTCATGTACTTGAATCTAAACACTAAAAGGATTAGTATTAGAGTTGAAAATTTCTGGCCTTTTGATATCAATCCCTATGGATTGGTTTTAAGTTTTTAATCGATACTTGGTTCATCGATTCTCTCAAATGTTCTAACTTTTCACTAATGATCTTATATAGCCAAATTAGTAACTTGCATCCAATTTCGAACCATTGTCTTTTCAAGATAAAGTTTTATTACCATGGCTTAATCCTTTTATTGCCAATGTTTTTGTGAAAATTTGATGTTATCTCGGGAATGATGGGAATTTCTTATTAGTTAGTGTTATATAACTAGATTCTTGTTGAATATAATATTACACCTTGGCAACCTTTGACAGCTAAGAATAGCTTTTCGGTCAAAATCAATGGTAATTACTTTCCTATCAAAGTGGTCGATGGTGGTCGATGGTGATCGGTTACCACTATCAGGTAGATTGAATAAGAAGATTGCTCTAGTTGATGTATTCCGAAAAAAAGTGAGAATACAGAACTGTGAACTCTCTAACACATTAAACTATGACCATTAAGGAGTAATTTATCTTATCGTGGTGACATACGACAGTAGGCTTGAAAATGCAACGCAGCATTTATTTATTAGAGATTGGGTCTATAGTTTTTAGAATTAAGGAAATTAAAGCTTTGGTTGATTATCATTTGGATTTTGATTTCTAGGTTTTGAAAACAAAGCTGGTAAAGAAATTGCAGAGAGTACTGTATTAAAGGTATGGTAAGAAAACAAGTATAATTTTAAAATAATAATAATAAATGGTTATCAAACTCTCAAAAGTTCTTTATTTTGTTATCAAATCTCTAATATCTTTTATAAATACCCATAAAACATAAAATACAAAAATACAAAATAAATAAATAAATAAATAATCATATATTAATGATTTGTAATTGATTATTTGTTCATTTATATAGTTTGGTTACTTGCTAGTTCCAATGTCTAATATGATGATTAATTTTCATATTTGTGTTGGTTTACTTTGTAAATTTTAAAAAGAAAATTAATAAGATGATTAATATTTTCTAAAACTTATGGATTTATTGGGTCAAATTTTAAATTTATATCTATTAAATTAGTTAAATAAAATAATAAGTAGATTAAAAAATTATTAGACACTATTAAATACAAAATTAAAAATTAAAACAATAAAAACCAAATAGATACGAAACTAATCTCTACCTTCAAAGTTCCAAACAAAAAGTTTACGCATTTCCCCGACGACTCTACCAACCATGAGGAGCCGTCAGAACACGAAGACATGAAAATTCATTCTTGCCCCTCAAATATCTACTTATTTACATAAGTTCACCGCATAACTCTCAAACATGAGAGGGGTGTTTACGGAAATTACTGCAAATACTCGTCCGACTCCGCTCTTAAACTCAATGTCGTTGCCAGTCGCAGTCGTCAGTGTTGCGTCTCTCGTTAACTATGTACTCTGCTATCACTCTCGGCCGGCCACTACGCTGCCGGCGATTTCCCGGTGACCGGAGTACAAAGCCGATCAAAAGTGAACCGGCGAAATTCAAAGTGCCTTCAAGCTCTCTTCAATTGCCCAAGGGCAATTGTTCCGGCAGCGTCTCGTCAACGGGTAATTTTCTCGGTTTTGGACTTCGGAATGGTTTGTCACTCGTTTCTGGATTCGTTCTTCGATCTCGAGCCGGTGTTTCCTCGAACGATGCTCAGTTCGGTTCGTTTAACGAGGATAAGGATGTCGAGGCGCCGAGTCGTTTCGAGTTTATCACGTCTGAGAGGGTTAAGGTTGTGGCCATGCTTGCTTTGGCTCTCGCGCTTTGTAATGCTGATCGGGTTGTGATGTCCGTTGCGATTGTTCCGTTGTCTCTATCCCATGGCTGGAGCCGATCGTTCGCCGGTATAGTTCAGGTAGCTGTGTTCCTCTTAAATTGTTTTTACTGTATAGCAATTGCTGGTTTCTTTCTCTGTTTTTCGTTTGCGCAAGATAGTTCTCTAGAACTGAATTTTATCTTTTCTACTGAGTTTTGGGTTCTACAGGCAGGTGTGAGATGATATGATATAGATTTGATATAGATTTGAAGGTGATGGTGATTTCTTTTTGCGTATTTCTGCATCAATTTATGATATAGAGTTGAAGAGAATAGCATTTTCTTGCGCATTTCACCATCTACTTATGCTTCTCGCTTTAATTTTAATGACAATTTCGTTGCGTTGCTAATTAGCCTTAAGCTGATCGATCTTTTACGCTCGAGCAAATATTGATATCTTTTCCCAGAAGTTTGAGATTTTGTTCTCTCGACTTCTGGTTGCTCTATCAGGAATCTAACAGGATATCCGTCACTTGTATTGTTAGCATCACCAGTATTTGACTAGAACAAAGTTATCGCTTGCAATTATCTGACGGTTGGACTTCATGCAGTCATCGTTCCTTTGGGGTTATTTTGTTTCTCCAATAGCCGGCGGAGCGCTGGTGGACTACTACGGTGGTAAGATGGTTATGGCCTGGGGGGTGGCTTTATGGTCACTGGCCACATTTCTGACTCCTTGGGCCGCTGAAACTTCGTTATGGGCACTTCTCGCTATGCGTGCTTTGCTCGGCGTTGCTGAAGGTGTGGCCCTTCCTTGTATGAACAACATGGTTGCTAGGTAATAATGATTGCTTAATTTAGAATAACAATTGAGTAGAAGCCAGCAATGAGCCATTTGAATGTTAGCTTCATAATTTGGAATCTAAGATGACAGAAAACCGAATTATGGTGACGTCTAAACTCTTCTCTTTATGTTGTAGATGGTTTCCTCCAACAGAACGAGCCAGGGCTGTTGGTATTGCAATGGCTGGGTTTCAGTTAGGAAGTGCAATAGGGCTCGTGCTTTCTCCAATCCTAATGTCTCGAGCTGGTATACTTGGACCATTTGTCATTTTTGGGTTGTCTGGGTTTTTATGGGTTCTTGTATGGTTATCTGCAATATCCAGTACTCCTGATCAGAATCCTCAGATATCCAAATATGAATTGGAATATGTACTAAAAAAGAGGCAAGAACCTTTAGTGGTGGAGAAAGTACCCCGGAATACTGTTATTCCTCCATTTAGGCGGCTACTTTCTAAAATGCCAACATGGTCTCTTATCGTTGCCAATGCTATGCATAGTTGGGTACTGCTCAAACTATTTTCTTCCCTTTAATTCATAGGAAATCCTATCCGGTGTGCCTTTTTACTGCAAATGTTGACTGATCTAGTAGCTTACTCTGTCTATGGCTTTGGATTAACCCATCTTAGCTTCAATAGATGCCTTTTTAATTATTATTGCCCACGCTCATACCTGTTATGGGAAACCTTATATCACCTCCCTACATTTAATTATCTTCTTATAATTTCACTGTGTTTTACAAATGGTGTGTTTAGGTAGTGGGAGAAGTAACTTAATGTGATACTTTCACTTCAATGTGATCTCTTTTCCTGCAGGGATTCTTCGTGATTCTTTCATGGATGCCTATCTACTTCAACTCCGTGAGGAATCCTTAGCGAACTTTTTGATGAGTTCTCTGTTAAATAGTGAATTTCTTAAAGGATTGGTGTTTTTCCATTACAGGTATATCATGTTGAACTCAGACAAGCAGCGTGGTTTAGTGCTGTTCCGTGGAGTGTGATGGCAGTGATGGGATATTTTGGTGGATTGTGGTCAGATGGGTTAATACGAAGTGGTACATCTATCACTTTGACGCGAAAAATGATGCAGGTGAGCATTTTCAATCTCTATATAATTAACTTTCACTGTGACACGATACAAATGGAGACTTGTACACTTTCTTCTATTTTCCCCAACCTGTTTGTGTGTTGTTGTCTATCCTCTCCTCCTCGCTTCCCCCATTGTTCTTAATTTTTCAATTTCAGCCATCAAATTCAATGATTCCTGCCCTTTTTTTGGTTCTTTATTTCTACGACAGTCAATAGGTTTTATTGGCCCTGGGATTGCTCTGATCGGTCTTACATCAGCCAGAAGTGCATCAATAGCATCCGCATGGTTGACTTTGGCAGTTGGGCTGAAATCTTTCAGCCACTCCGGCTTTCTTGTGAACCTTCAGGTGGCGACTCAAACAACTCAACTCAGCTTAATACCCATTTTATTTTTAGTTTTCTCAAGTGTCTATTGAAGCATCTAGCATTTCTGGTCCACCGTTAACTTTTGCACTTCTGAAATTTCCTCCTTATCTCTGCTTTACAGGAGATTGCTCCACAATACTCTGGCGTGCTTCACGGTACGTTGTTATTTTAACAATGTCTACAACCCGTAAATGCATAGTTTAGAAGTAATACTTAAGTGAATATTTCTCGAGTACTACCAAAATTGAACCCAAATTCTGTTTCAGGCATGTCTAATACTACTGGTACACTTGCTGCTATTGTGGGAACAGTTGGGGCTGGTTTCTTCGTGGAACTTGTGGGCTCTTTCCAAGGATTTCTGTTGCTAACCTCTGTTCTGTATTTCATGGCTGCGCTTTTCCACATCCTATTTTCTACGGGGAAGAGGGTAAATTTTGAAGAAACTAGTTCTGCAGAGTAACCTCAGTTTCCAGTGAACAAATTCTTGCTCATCCGGTGTTTAAGATTATGCCAAGTAACTAGTCATGTTGAAGAGAACGGAGAGCAAGTAATAACAAAACTCGAATTGAAAGTTTGTAAAATAAAAAAAGGAATGTCCCAAACCAAATGGTATGAACAGAGCAAAGCGATAACTGTCCGCAAGTCAATGGCCAGCACCAAATTTTACATCATCCAATCAGAAAATAGTAGAGTGAATTAAAAATACCATCATTCATGACCATCAAGGTAGTAGCAAGGAAGTAGATCAGCAAATCAAACAGGACTAACAGACCTTGAAACCACGCTTCCAATCCCACCAGAATATCCTCCTCTCTTATGGCGCCTCGGAGTACGGCTGTGGTGACTCCTCGAGCTCCTTCGTTCAGGAGAGATACTGTGTGAATGTCTCTCGAATCTCCTGCTTCGTTCAGGGGAAATACTGCATGAATAACTTCTGCTACGAGAGTACCTCCTCGACGCGCTTCTACAGTGCCTAGGAGAATAACTGCAGGAATAAAGTCTACTAGAAACCCTTGCCTTTGGTGGTGAGACACTCCTAGAAACAGACCGATCCCTGTGCCTTCTGTAGTATGGATCAGGGGAGCAATAGTCGTAAGGTGAGTACGACCTGTCACGTCTCCTGGTAGGCAACCTACTACATGGAGAGTGGGATCGAGAATACGACCTATGACGCCTATTGTATGGAGAATCATATCTTCGGCGGCTATAAGGGGAGTATGATCTATAGCGGTATGGCGAGTCATTTGATCTTCGGCAGCTATAAGGGGAGTATGATCTACAGCAGTATGGCGAGTCATTTGATCTTCGGCGTCGATCAGGAGAATGGGATCTTCTACTGCTACGGTCAGATGAATAATTAGACGAACAGCTCAAGCTCCTGCTATAAGGAGAGTAGCTGGGAGAACGCTGAGAAGAGTAGCTGCGCGATCTACATCTCACTGTTATAAAGAGAGGATTAGACAAAAAAAAAAAAAAAAAAAAAAAAAAAAAAAAAAAAAAAAAAAAAAAAAAAAAAAAAAAAAAAAAANACGATTGCCGTATTGCTTCTTATATTCTTTCCTATTTTCATTTCTTCTATATAAGATTCTGACGGAGTCTTTGCGGACGACGACGTGTGGTGTTTATTTGGCATACCGTTCGAGCCGATCGGTGGAGTGAGGATTTGGTTACTTTGCAAATTGCTAGGTTTTTTATATTTTGAATGAAAAATGCGGATCAGAAATCTGGTGGTGTTGATGCTCTCTATGACGGTTATTGCTCCGATTCTGCTTTACTCTAATCGCCTCGCCACCATCGAGTTCTCATGTAAGTGTCCTTCTATCTCGCCGATTTCGTTCTGGAATCCGGTTCATTTGCTTTTTTGTTTCGCTGCTATATATAGATTTTGAAATAGAGCTTTCATTTCTGCAGCTAAAGGCGATTTTATTGAAGATTTTTCAACTTCGGTGAGTAAATCCGTCTAGACTCGTTCTGCATGCTTCATCTTGTTATTTGCCATTGCGATATTGAAAAAAAAAAAAAAAAAAAAAAAAAAAAAAAAAAAAAAAGCGCAATACTTAATAGAAATAAATCAAACATCAGATTAAAAGCTCACTACGGACTGTTCTGAGTCCAAAATATCTCCCTGGAGTCGGAGTTCTACCTCTCCGTCTTCGAGCCTATCAGAAAATAAGAGATGTAAAATGAGACAATTCAATTGTCAATCGAAGAAAAACACCAGAGCAGGGGAACATGCCACAGTAGAGAGGGAAGTAAGGCTACAGGAATCAATTAGCAGATAAAAGAGAGAAATGCAGGGCATACAACCCCAATGTTCTGAGACTTCATGTGTTTGTTTTGTTTGATTAGTTGTAGTTTGAATTTGATGAAGAGCTGCTACACACAGCTAACCTGCTGCCAAAAAAAACTTCAAGTGCAAAGAAGCAAAAATCTCAAATCTCTTGCAACAAACCATCCAGAGATCCCGTAAATATTTGAAGTTGAACAATTTAGACAACATTAATAATGAGAAACATCTCCACACTATGAAATTGTACTTGGTTTAATTTTTACCTTCTCCACGGTGATTATTCGACCTTCAAGGACAGATCGATTCAGATATTTGATGCAACGTTCAGCCTCATCATTACTAGACATGGTAATGAATCCAAATCCACGGGATTCTCTAGTCCATGGATCAGTCACGAGATGAACATCTAGCACCTAGAGAATGAAAAATTCATTCACGAACAGAGTAAATAGTCAATAAATTCAATCACCAATAGAAAGAACAAAACACATACACCACCATCAAAAGTACAAGCCAAAGAAAAAATTTGAAGAAAATAAGATCTGCGACATACTGTTCCTTCAGCAGAAAAATGTTTCTCGAGTTCTCTCCTTGTAATTCTATGTGACAAACCAGTGACGTACAAATTGTTACCAGGATTTTCAACGTCACTAGAAGGGCTCCTGAAAAAAAAATCCACAATATAGAAGTAAATGTATCATACAGATGATCTAGAGAATATGGGAAAAACCTACCAAGCAAAGGGTTCCTGAGCAAGAAATACCTTGAACGGCTCCTTGACCTTGACAGGGACCTTGAGACCGATCGTTTGTATGAAGGAGAGCGGGAGTACCTAGACCTTCTGGAGTACGACATCTGCGACCTGATGAGCCAAAAAAAAGCCTAAACACGATCAGCATTTAATAAAGAAGAGTACAACAGTAATAGAAGACCAGAATTACAATGATTTTGCTTCTCGTATAGAGCAGCTGGTAAATCGGAACGTCAGCTTAACACTCGTCAAGAACAAGAAAATGAAGAAATAGAATATCTCTCCACCAATATTCTAAGTTAACAAAAAAATTCCAAGACAACCGCAGAAAATACTCCTAATGAATATGCTAATCACAAGAAAAACAATCTAGCAATAACCCAACCCTAATTCTCTCCATAAACATCATCGAAATCAAGAATCAAACGTATCATCTCAATCAACGAAAATAGATGCAAGAGTTCATGAAATGAGAGATAGAGAAAGAATTTACCGCCCAAACTGCAGAAGCAAAAACCTAAATCGAAGGGAAATGTAACCGAGTATTCAACGACAATAATATCTCGTACGAAAGCGCATGCAATAAAGTTTTACTGAACCAACTGAAAGCATAATATATAGCCTCCAGGTGAGAGAAGTTTCTGGAGCATCGGATGCCAAATCGCAATAAAACATAATTTAAACTTTTTCGTTTCCGTATTCAGATTGGCATTTCAAATCGTGGAGTAGTAATCAGGTATTTCGCAATCAAAATGTTATCGTGGATCCGCTACGTGTCAGAATATGACCCGTGCAATACCAAAAAAATTATAAACCTCATATTATCAAAATTATCCAAAATGATAACGTAGAAACGAAAGAAATTGTTGATAAAATCTTACTGATATAATTAATCAAAATAGTGAACTTCTGGGCTGTTTGTAAACACCCGAATTTCACTTCTATTTCGTTTAGACTAAACTAACAACAAAGGGCTTTGCCTCAAAACAGACAAAGGAATGGAAGCAGTGAATCCAAATTGCTCATTCTCAAGTAAAAAGAGTGTCATATTACATAATGTAGACATGACAGAATAGGAACGATATAACAACAAAGAGGCCCTGCGCCTCCCCCCATCCAACAGCCATACTTGTCGACGGAGACCTAATCTACGATGGTGCAGGTTCAGAAGAAGTCGAAGATGGAGCAGATGCTGAAGGCGTCGATCCCAGCGGTGCTGAACCTGAAGATGCTCCTCCTTGCGACTGAGGGGCAGAGTCTTGTGGTGCAGAATGCTGCTGGTATTGCTGGCTACCTGGAGGGGGCTGGGGCGGGGGTGGCATGTTCGAATGATAAGGAGGGTATTGTGGATAATGTTGTTGCACGTACCCATATGGCGGATAAAATTGCTGTTGATATTGTGCATGTGGTGGTGGTGGGTGCATTGCGTGATATGGATATTGATGTCCCTGCTGGTGTTGTTTCTCCGAACCGGGTCTAGCTTCTGTTGAACTAGCAGGTCCGCTATGGGGTGCCCCCGAATCATGAGTCGAAATCAAAGCTCCCATTCTTTGAGGGTCCATTGAAGGATAGAATGCTCTCTCCTGCTGAGGTGGAGGTGGTGGCATATTGTAGTAGTGCATAGGTTGAGGTTGATCATGCGTTCCTGGAGGGTGTAATTGGCTGTGCTGCTGCGAGATAACTGCTCGCGGCAACATTCCACTGTGAGCCACTGCTGCTTGCTTTGCTTCATCAGAACCCTCCGACTCTGGTTTTGGTGCTTGAGGTCTGCCCCACATCAATTTCAACCTAAGGCCCTTTACTACCAGCTTGTTAGAAAGCTCTCCTGCAGCCTTCTCTGCACCTTCCCTGGTGGTGTAGGTCACAAAAGCACATGCCCGCTGTAGCACCATTCTGATGGATTCAATTTCACCATGTGCATAAAAGTTATCACGAAGATCTTGTTCGGTGACTCGAGCATCAAGTCCACCCACATACAAGGTTCTAATACTCTCATCCTCTGGAGGTTCCAGAGAAGGCATCTCTCCAGCCTTGTTAAGAAGCTTCAGTGCAACTGGATCGTTAACCCTGAGGAGTTCGAAAAGAAAGTAACCTCATTAGCAATTATCTCTGTAAATTCTGAATCACAAAAAAATGTGGCTAGTATAGAAAAATATGTGATAACTGCGACTTTAAACATTCTTGCAAATCGAAACCGAACTGTGAGAATGAAATATAGCTCAGTCATCTATTTCAGTTTTATAATGGCCAAGGGGAAAAACTTGATAGGAAAATAAAACTTCATGAATAGAACAAAAGATATAAAGGGTAATGAGATTCAACCCAACAAGGGCCAAGGGGATTACAAGGGGATTACAAGGTTGAGATGTCAAAGGCGGACAAAATATGTATTTCAATGTCACATCTTTCGAAATACAACTCAACTCGCCACAAAATAGTAAATACTAATTTAAATAGCCACTGATCAATTAATTGCATATGAAAAACTGAGCAATCATCTCTGTTCCAATAAATAATAACTATGGGAAGACTATACTTCATATGATATAAAGCTGAAACGAAGCTTAAGATATGTAACAAATGCAAGATGTTGACCATGAAAAAGCATAGAAAATTTGGGTGGTCAGGGACTAAGATCGGACACACAACAACTAATCATTCAAAAGGAAAAGATCAATCATACCCATAATAACGATCCTTAATATTTTGCTGGGACAACTCTCCAGTTTCAGGCATCTCATGTCTGTAAGGGCATTCCGAACCTCTAGTACATTCACCCCTAATATAAAAACTACAAACATGTGCACGGTTCCTCTTGTAATAGGGGGTAGTTCGTTGAAGTTTCAGAATAGTATCGTTTGGCCGAGCCTTTCCAAATGAGGACTCATAATCAATACCAGCTCTAGCCTGCATGGTCAACATTCAACTGAATTAGCAAAATCCAAGTTAGCAACAACAGAGATGCAAATACCTGCTACAGCAATCATATTTAATTCATTGAATATGTAAAAGTTATAAAACAAATCAAATGCCACATAGGATACTTTTAGGGTGCACATCCATGGCCATCTAATTAAATTCAATAGCTTTTATCAATTTTCTCAAATTATCTCCTCTTCAAAGCAATAAAATCACATTCCTCCTCTCTTCAAGGAAATTAAGATCCCATTCCCTTAAATGGCCATGCTTCATTATATTAAATATTAATATTAATTTGTCGCGAAGATGAAAGTGAGAGAGAAAACAACATTTCATCCATACACTTCAGCAGAACATGGATGTCCGTTGAATAGAGTACGTTTGACCCAATAACATTCAGATTTTAAACCCATATGCCCACAATCTTGATCGAAATCAAGAACCTTTGCCAAATATGCCCACCTTTATTGCTAACATTTTTCAATCCACTTGCGCAAAAGTACACAGAAAGCATGACTAACAAAGAAAAAGAATCTAAAGTAAAAAACACTTATTAGGCCTGAAATTAAAGACTGCCCTTAGCAGTCTCCATGATTTAGGTTTCTTACAAAACTAAAACGAGATATATTGACAGAAAGAAACATATTTGAACAACAAAGGTAAATAAATACTGACAACAGAATCTAACGTCGAAAGAAAAATCCTATAACCAAAAAACTTCCAGAAATTAAGATCCCTACCAATCATCTACATCATTATAATATAAAATTTTAATTTGGTACTGATATAAATTAATTGATGTACGACGCATGATCCAGAACAACAACAAAAAAAAAAAAAGCCTGACAATTTTTCCAATAAGGAAAGAATAAGCTTAACTTCTTTTCAAGAAAATCGAAAATTGTAAATCATGTCTAATAAGACAAAAGTTATTTATGTTAAGCAATCAAAACAATCCAACATTTTAGTTTTTACCATGCTATTAGAATTAGCCATATCTATGTCCATCAAGGGTTATCGATAGTGGCTAAGATGGTTGGGGAATCATAATGTTTTCCCCCCTTAACATTCCAAAAGATTGGACAAACAACTACAAGGACTAATCATCCAATAACTAGAGGAAATACTTAGCAGAAAGTGCATACCTTCCGATCATGCTCCTCGGCAAAATATTCCCTATTCACATCGCTCTTAGGAATAGAATCGTTGGAGTTGATAGACAGGGCAGTATCTCGAACCTGAACTGGTAAGCCATATTCAAGGTCCAAAAGGCAAACTTGACATACATTTTTTAACTTACTGCAAGTCTGGCAAATCTCAGATTTCTTATATCTGGCATCGCGTCCAGGTCTCCACCTGAAAACTGTAAATGGTCGCGTGCAAATTTTGCATTCTTTGTCATAATCAGCTTTCGTCTGCATTCAGATATCGCATTCATTTAATCAAAATAATGTATAAGGAAAAGACTAAGCATGAATTGCAAAAGAGCACAACTCCAGTAACCACCATCCCTTACTCCCCCACATATTTCATGCTAGTGAGTATATAAAAATCATAAACAGTTAACAGAAACCATCTGGATCTATGTTCAAACAGGACATCAATTGACGGTAATTACACGAGCAGAACAGTTCGAGAAGGACTTATTCGAACATTTATGTGATCAATTGTAAACTTAGGAACGCAATTCAAGGACGGTTTCGAAGTAACTCGAGGGGTTGGGAGTACTAAACTTAGAGAAGATAGAAGAACAAACATACCATGCGAACATAGGGGTTATCACCAAGGCAAGACTCGCAGATGATGGGGAAATCGGAGCGCTCCCATCCATCAGCTTCCAGATCCCTCAGCAACCGATGCGCCATGGAGAATTCGTGTGGAACTCGACTCTGTTTTGGCTCCCTTGAGTAGGACTGCGAAGGAATCAATCAACTCTTCGGAAGTCCCTCAATCAATAAGTGAGCCTTCAAATCGAATGATCGCCCAGAGCCCAGGGAGGAACCCTCTGTTGGGAAACCCTAGATTTGGAATGATCTCAAGTCATTTACTCTGCTTGGTGTGAATTTATAAAAAGAAAAAGGCAAAGGAGAATCGGAAATTCAAAAGGGTTTGAGATCTCGTTTTTATCCAAAAATTTTCCATCCAAAATAGATTGGATTTACAGGATTTCAAACTAAAACTGACCTAACTCCATTCTAAATTTACCCTATTTTGTGATTAAATCCAAGAAAAAAACTGATTTATAAGGACAGACTTCGATTGCAGAATTGAAAAATGGAGAAACTGAGATGGAAAACTGACCCATGACGTCGAGAGGTTGCAGCAGGGAGGAAGGTAAAGGTGAAGAAAAAAAAAAACGTGGCGGTTGGGGCGTACCGGCGACTATCAGCAGAGATGGTTGTGTGAGTGCGGCGGCGGCGGCGGGAGGGGAAATTCAGAGATGAAGAAACGGGTGGGGAGCGAAAGAAGTGGAGGCGGACGTGTAGGTTTCACTTCTTCATCTCATCTCATCTCTTCTTTTCTTTTTTATTTATTTATTTGTCTTTTTCGAATATTTATAATAAAACGTTAATTTATATATATATATATTATATTGCAATGGTAAAGTAGGTATTTAAATAGGCATCAAGCTCGTTTGTTAGATTTTTTTTTTTTAATTATTCTGAATTCTTTATTTATAAATAAA